AACTCCCGACCAATCGCTCGTAAGAGAATCGGTAAATTCTATTCTGGTCTAGCGACAAATTATGCAGTTGTGATTGGAGCTAAACCTGGTGATCGTCGGTACTTCAGAGGACGTGTTGCCTGTATGCAAGTATTTGGCAGAGCGTTGTCAGCTGCTGAAATCAGAATGCGAATGAAGACATGCTTYAGACCAGGTATTTACATYGATTAATTAYTTAYSGTTCTCTTTGTTTACTGTTACTTATACATATATTTCCCGTGTTTTATTTTTAGTACCTCCGGTACCACCTAAACCAACGCGTCCTCCACCCACAGCGTCACCCAAAGGTAGGAGATATACAATTGCTTAGTATAATTGCTTGGAACAGATGTAGATTAGTGCTATCTTACCGATTCTAAATTTCTTTACAAAATTTGCAAAACAAACAAAATAAAATAGATTTTCCTAGGGAGGGGAGATCCAGTCAGTTCTATCAGAAGTCCGTAACGATTTTTTCTACATTTGGCTAATTGGCTTTTGCAGAATTTACTTCAGTAACTACAAAACTACAAATTTTATTGACATCCTTATTTTGTTGTTGTTGTTATGTAGTATGCAATCGCCGTATCGACCTTGGTTTCCTTATTGACGTTTCTTCACGAGTTGGTCGTACCAATATAAAATACATTCGTCTCTACGTTAAAGAGATGGTTCGACGGTTTAGAGTTACCTCGCGTCTAACTCGTGTCGGAATTGTCACCTATTCTTCCCGTCAGCGAAGAATCATCAGGCTAACCCGTGCGAGATCRAACCGAGATGTTAACAGAGCTCTTGGACGAATCCAAATCAGACGAGGCCGAAGACGAACTGGAAGTGGTTTGCGCTATGCCAAAAGATACTTGTTTGAAGGAAAACCCAAATGTGGTAGAAAGAGAGTCCTTATTGTACTTACGACTGGAGCATCTGCAGATGGAGTCAGACGACCAGCGAAATCCTTGGAAAACATCGGTGTTGAGATCTTTGTCGTGGTGCCTAACAAAGGTGGACGAAAACAAATGCACCAGATTGCCACTTCAAGACTTCACGTGGTTACGATGGCCTATGCACGACTGATCAATATTGTGGCTCGTATGTCTAGTCAGATATGCGTTTCACCTAAAGGTAAG